TGGTGCCGTATCTGTTCGGGTGCAGACCATCTGGACGATAGGCCACGTGACGCTTCCAGAACAGGCCAAAGTTGTTCACAAAAATAAAGTTAAAAGTGCTGCATGTAGACTGGAGCCACATGTTGAGCGCCACAACGCGACTGTACAAGCAGTCTCCCCGGTTTACAGTCGGGACTGGACCAGAGATAAAAACACACAACCCGAAGGACTGGAGGAGGCGGAATAGATCCATAAAATGCTTCTTTGTGACCTCGGACTGCTGCAGCTTCATGTCGTTGATCCCCACATGCACGACTACCTTTAAAATGGTATCAGGCAGGAACTGAAGCAGAGGAGGGAGACGGATGAGCAGGTCTGGAACAGTGGCTCCGGTAATGCAGTGAGTGACCGCGTTAAAAAAGCGGACGTGCCTCACGATGGAATCTCCAACAATCAAAGTAGTCGGGGAGAAGAGTGGACGCGGCCGCGGAGAGGGCGCTCGGTGTCCATGGCCAGAACCAGCGGGCTCATCCAGGGATGGGTCCGAACCAGGGCGCTGCTGAACACATGGAGAGGAGTGGGGGTGTTGATTCCCAGCTCCGGGCAACCCACGCTGTGTGCTCGGGGACGCTGGAGCGGCGTGAGGAGCAGGCTCGGGTCGCTGCTGCTGACCCGGTGAAGGTAAGCGGTGGTGATGCACTGGGGTCAGAGAAGGGGAATGACCACTCTTTCGTCTGAGGACAGCTTCCTTTAAGAGTGTCTTTCTCGCAGTGGACCTGGATCCACGGACAGCAGTAGAGTTTGCTGCAGAGTCCAGGGGTTCTGCTGAGGGGGCTGGAATGTCAGCGGAGAGGGCTGCATAGCGGTTTGAAAGGCTCAGGACATGGGCCACGGCGCTGGATGGCTCCTCGCAGTCCGCAGGCTCTTTATTCCGAACCGGGCACTTAGGTGTAGAACAAGAGGGCCCAGAGCTGACAGATCTCTCCCACACGACAGTGTCACAGTATGCAGCGCTCAGTGACATAAGCCGTGAGTGCTGCCCGCCAGCGACATCAAAAAGTTTGGACACGAGTGACTGTTTATCCTGCAGCTCTGCAGTGAGGCGAAGGACTTCTTTACGGAGGTCTGCAATAGTGGCACGGTCCCTCTCACGAAGCTCCAATGTGAGGCGACTAATGTCGTTCGTGGTCATTGCAGTGTCACTTTCCATGTCTGTGGTGCGCTCGTGGTAGCCTCCGAGCTAGCGCGTTTCGATTGGGTCTTTGTGTTAAAAGACGTGATGCTCTGGAACCATTAATAAAACACTAGAGTGTACAAAAGACACTAATACACCGTAAAAACGTGTTTAAAAGGCTTTAAAAGGCTTAAAAAAGGGTAAAACAGAGCAGAGACGTCAAAACGCGTGCTCACTCGCGTGCTCACTCCAAGCTATAGAATAACACCAGGTCGTAATTAGATCGTAAATGTTTATAATGCTCTCATAATAACCATACGCCTATGTTGCCGTAAGGCTAGCCAGCCACATCTCGGGATCTTCGTCACCACTGCTGTTCACACTGAATGCTCTGTCATGTCAGAATCATGTCAGGATTATCTACCGCTATCAAAGTTGAATAAAACTATAGTCTCTGAGTTTTTTATTTGCACAATTACAGCTGCTTGGCCAAATTAGCCTAACCCAATTAATCTGTCAACCCCATTACTTGCATTATCAAAAGTGTGTAAATAATTTTGAAACAAAAGAGCAAATTACCAATGGTTAAATAACTCCGTGAAAATGGCTAAATAGTAAGTTTCATTTGGTTTCACGTCATCTTATAACAATTAACTTAAAAGGTCAAATCGGGGATAACCTGTTTACGGCAAATTAATTTACGACCTGTCAATCTTGGCTACTGTGCCTGTAGCTGTTTGATAGTTAAGGATGGCTGATCGTGCAGGTTATTTTCGTAAGTTGGTCCTCAGCGATGGTCATCAGTTGCCTGATCCATACACTATTCTCACAGAACAGTGGGTTGTAGATAAGAGTAAATGACCATCGTTACCTGGCCTGATATATATAATTATCTCATTCAGACACCCAGTGTCTATACAAAAGAGAACCTAAAAGCATATAAGTCTATAGATGCATACAATTATGTGTTATGTGGGCATGTGAGGAATGTAAAATACTACGACTCTGGGACTGAGTTCTGTGTTTTTAGAGCTGATGTGCTCCACAGTCAGAGACTGGGCATAAAGTCAAAGCCTTATGATGCCTGGGTGTACGTCCACAAAGACTTGGGGTACATCCTTACAGCAAACTGTTCTTGTATGGCAGGGTATGTATGAAAGACGGCTAATTACTCACATAAATGACGCTAATGAACTATCCATCACTTTTATGGGGTGCCGTTTGTAAAAATTCTGTTAAAATTTTTTAGCTGAACATTTTTCTACATTTAGCTCACTTTCCTCACATTTAGCACATTTTCCTCACATTTAAGACATATCTATATCTAAATATTATATCTATATCTAAATGTTAAATGTTATATCTAAATATTATATCTATATCTAAATGTTATATCTATATCTAAATGTTAAATCTAAATGTTAAATTTAAATGTTAAATCTAAATGTTAAATCTAAATGTTAAATCTAAATGTTATATCTATATCTAAATGTTATATCTATATCTAAATGTTATATCTATATCTAAATATTATATCTATATCTAAATGTTAAATGTTATATCTAAATATTATATCTATATCTAAATGTTATATCTATATCTAAATGTTAAATCTAAATGTTAAATCTAAATGTTAAATCTAAATGTTAAATCTAAATGTTAAATCTAAATGTAAATGTTAAATCTAAATGTGTCGCCAAGTGTAAAGCTAAATATATAGAAACCACGCCCACTGCAGTGGCTTCAAATCCAGTGGGCCCGCCTTCCGTGCCGTGTGGTGAGTGGGGGCGGTGCCGCGTGTTTTGAACATAGGAATACACGTGGACCGACGTCACGGCTCAAGGCATGTTGGGTCTCCGGCGCCATCGTCCTTGGCCACGGCACAAAATTAGCATTTTTGTGAAGATTCTTGCTTATTTGCTGGAGCCAGAGTGTATTCACTGTAAACTAAGCCACGTGGAGTCCCGTGAGATTCCTGTGTAATCCTGTAGGGTTCTCACCACACGGCACGGAAGGCGGGCCCACTGGATTTGAAGCCACTGCAGTGGGCGTGGTTTCTATATATTTAGCTTTACACTTGGCGACACATTTAGATTTAACATTTAGATTTAACATTTAGATTTAACATTTAGATTTAACATTTAGATTTAACATTTAGATTTAACATTTAGATATAGATTTAACATTTAGATATAGATATAATATTTAGATATAACATTTAACATTTAGATATAGATATAATATTTAGATATAGATATAACATTTAGATATAGATATAACATTTAGATTTAACATTTAGATTTAACATTTAGATTTAACATTTAGATATAGATATAACATTTAGATATGGATATAATATTTAGATATAACATTTAACATTTAGATATAGATATAATATTTAGATATAGATATGTCTTAAATGTGAGGAAAATGTGCTAAATGTGAGGAAAGTGAGCTAAATGTAGAAAAATGTTCAGCTAAAAAATTTTAACAGAATTTTTACAAACGGCACCCCATACACTTTAGCCTGGCGTCATGCTGTAGTCACGCTGCAGCCATCATGTATTTGGTGGAGATGACGCGGAGGACGAATTACTCGGAGGAGGTTGCCTGTACGTCCATGGCCAATCAGTGGAAGAAGTCCAGGAAAAATGCTGAGCCACAGAAGCTTAAATTGATTAACTTCAGCCGGCCAAAAGTAAACATGACCAGGCTTCCACAACTTCAGCGACCAAAAACAACTTTACAGTCCAAAATGTGCCATGTACAACAGACGCGAGTGATGTCATAAGATCATGTCACTGTTGTTTAGACACGTGGTTCCACAAATCGGTCTATGGACAATGTAACAGAATTTATTTAACCCAGGACACTTTTCAGCTTTTGGCTTTAAAAACAAATATTTTTTTCTAAAATGCAATACAGTATATTTTAAAAAAAGTTATTGATGTAGTAATTTGCACCTGCAGTACTTAACCTGTTAATAATTCTGTCTCCATTTCTTATACACACAGCAATTACAACTGAAGACCTGCAAAGTCTGAAAATTGCATGTCCAGATGCAGCTGTGTTTACATCTATCAATACAGCTGCAGATTCAGACACAGACACAGCATCAGAGACTGAATATGAGCTCCCTGAACCTCTGACAGCTATGTTTGACCCATCTGCTATAGGCAGCTGACATCAGTTGAGCTTAAAGTCAAGTGCAAAGCCAGCTTTGACAAAATGATAAGTGGATACACAGAGAGTGGGCTTGAATATCTAGAGGATGTGACTAAAGAGCAGTCCAAGTGTGCAACATGGAATACACACAGAGCTGGACGCATAACAGCCAGTACCTTTCACAAGGTTGTAACATGCAAATACTCCTCCACTCAAACTGTTGTCAGGCAAATAATGCAGTATGAAGCTAAAGAGCTTACTGTACCAGCAGTAGTGTGGGGGAAAAAATGGAAGAGACGGCTCGTGAACATTACCTCACAGAAAGGAAAAAACACACATTAACTTTACTTTGAAGAAAGTGGGTTTAACAGTGAAAGCAGATGAGCCATACCTTGCTGCCTCTCCTGATGGAGCTTTTTCGTGTGACTGCTGCAAAGCAGGTGTACTGGAGATTATATGCCCATACAAATTCAGGGATGGACTACAGGGGTCAGAGTGTGACGCATCGTTCTGCCTTGCGGAAAACTATTGCTTGCGCCGTAGCCACCCTTACTATGCCCAGATTCAACTGCAGATGCATGTTTGCCAAAAGGACATTTGTGATTTCATGGTGTGGACCAAGACAACCAGCATTATTTGTCGGATAAATAGAGATGAGCCCTTTCTGCAAGAAAACCTTCCCATGGCCAAGTTTTTCTTTATGGAGTATCTCCTTCCAGAGCTCATCTGCCACTACCAAGACCCTCAACTGGCTGAAGAGATCCGCTGTCTGCACTGCAAACGGCCTAGTTTTGGCAAAATGATCAAGTGCACTGACTGCTTCCAAATGTTTCACTGTGCATGTGTGAAACTAGAAAAACAAAAACGCACACCAAGTTCTTCTCATGAGGTGCATGTGCTGGAGCAGAAATTAAATGTATTGGAAAATACACAGCACACTCGGATAGATGTCCAAAAGATCTAATATTTATTACGTTTCGGCCTTAGCCTTCGTCAGATCATTTTTATCTTATTCATTTGGATCACAATATACAAAATGGTGCCAACCCAGGTGCTATACATAGTTCCCACATGACGTCACTACATACGGGGATTTGCCGACCCGGCGACATTTGTGTTGGCATGCTGTGGGCAAAACAATAGAAAAAGAAGCTGAAACGTGTTAATGTCGTGATAAAGTTGAAAATGGTCATCTCCTGCTGGGTCAATGGATGTTCAAATCGTGCCGGAGGTTCTGTTAAACTTGGATTTTACAGTATACCCATCATTAGACTTCATGAATGTGAGAAGACTAAGCTTTTGTCAGAACAACCACGGAGGTTATGGCTTGCGAAGATAAACAGGCAAGAAACTCCCTCAAAACACGCAAGAATATGCTCGGAGCACTTTGTGTCAGGTGCGTATCGTATCTTATAATGTGTTGACAGACGTAATTTACTCAGTACTAACTTGTGTATGCTGATATCTGGTAACTTGAGAGTTTCATTATTTAGCGTTAGATTACTTTATTATGAGGAGGATCGGTGTCGCGTCCGAGGCTCTCGAGGGCAACGTAAATGTATTAAATAGATAATAATAGTTCTATGGTGGGCTAAAACAATGTTCACAAACAGCATTGCTTCTGTAAAAAGATCTGTGTCATAAAATAAACTGCTCTTTACGCCTGGAAAAATCAGTTGCCCACCATTCACCAAAACATACGGTCAAAAACGCGGAAATAAACAATAACAGCAATCCAGAGTGTCCGTGTGGCATTAGCATTAATTAAATTAATTGTTAATATAATTAAAATAATTAAATGTAGCTCCAACTGGTATTAAATCTAAAGTTTTTGAGAAATGTTTGCATTGCTTGTTAATTTTTGCTGCATAATTTGATCAAATATGTAAAACATGTCCGTAGCACGTTAAACTGTGGTGCCATTGTATTAATATACAATTATTTGCTCAAAAGTTGCCCTTTTTTTTCCAATTTGCGTTTGAATATCTACATTTATTCTCATTCTTCTGTTTAATGGAATGCACAAACACAGCAGCGTGCCATCAAAGATGGCGTCTCCGAGGAGGTCATGTGACATTCATTGGTCTGTGGGAACTATGTATAAGCCCCTTCTAACGAGTGGGAGGTCCCAGTGTGGTGACACCCAGTGAATTCAGCCAAGAGAGACCAGAGAGAGACCAGAGAGAGACCAGAGAGAGACCAGAGAGAGACCAGAGAGAGACCAGAGGAAAACCAGAGAGACCAGAGAGAGGCCAGAGGAAAACCAGAGAGAGACTAGAGAGAGACTAGAGAGAGACCAGAGAGAGACCAGAGAGAGACCAGAGAGAGACCAGAGGAAAACCAGAGAGACCAGAGAGAGGCCAGAGGAAAACCAGAGAGAGACTAGAGAGAGACTAGAGAGAGACCAGAGAGAGACCAGAGAGAGACCAGAGAGAGACCAGAGAGAGACCAGAGAGAGACCAGAGAGAGACCAGAGAGAGACCAGAGAGAGACCAGAGAGAGACCAGAGTGAGACCAGAGTGAGACCAGAGTGAGACCAGAGTGAGACCAGAGAGAGACCAGAGAGAGACCAGAGAGAGACCAGAGAGAGACCAGAGAGAGACCAGAGAGAGACCAGAGAGAGACCAGAGAGAGTTCAAAAGAACGCGTTCATTTTTTTGTGAACGTTGAACTGAACGCAACACATTTTTCAATGAAGAACTTGAAGTGAATTAGTTCATATTATATATATATATATATATATATATATAGTTATATTATGTGTCATGAATGGCAGACATCTCTATGAACGTTGGAATTAGTTTTCTCTTTTGAAACACAGAGAGAAAGTTCCTCCCTCCTGTATTCTCCGCACTTTTTCCACCGAAAAATAAAGATTCCTACAGTGTTCACCTGTGTCTAATACAGTCTGTGTCTAATACAGTCTGTGTCTAATACAGTCTGTGTCTAATACAGTCTGTGTCTAATACAGTCTGTGTCTAATACAGTCTGTGTCTAATACAGTCTGTGTCTAATACAGTCTGTGTCTAATACAGTCTGTGTCTAATACAGTCTGTGTCTAATACAGTCTGTGTCTAATACAGTCTGTGTCTAATACAGTCTGTGTCTAAATGAACTTGTCCTTCTTGTAGTAAACACTGGAGGCAGACGTGTGCCTCTTCCCGCCTCAAAAGTAGCTCTAACTGAACATAACACGTACTTTTATAAAAAAAATACTCAATTTAACGACACAGATGGACTTACTGCTATAAACACAACCCAACAGGAAGAGGCCAACGACAGGGAGAAGTTTATCAGAGGTGAGGAGCCGAAGTGTAATGCTAATGCTAATGCTAATGCTAACAGCTATCACGGAGCTACTCAGCTAACGCTAGCTGTAATATTTGGGCTGAAGTTCACAGAGTTTGCCATTAAACATTACACATCCTGTCAGCGGGTCAACACAGCTCAAGTTATGGGCTTTATCTGGGATTTATTGTCATTTTTTTGCTGAGTTTATCATTTTGTTTTGCTTCAGGTGAATAAAAAGCATTAGCCTTGGCACTTGAAGCTAACTGCTATCACGGAGGTATTAGCTAATGTTATTGTGTTGGGCTAAAGTTCACATCCAGAGACATTCATAATGTTGTCAGTGACCCAGCACATCCACAGCCATGGCTCTGTCTGTGATTGTATGGTGTTAAATACAATGTATTGCTTCATTTTCACTTATTACTGGTTTAGTATTGACCGATGAGTTAATTAAGCTAACCCAGCTAAGGCATGAACATGAAGTTAGCAGCTCGTTAGCACTAACACTCATGGTAAACCAGTTAAACATACATTATAGAAGTGTTAAATTGTGGATTATTAAGTGTCATTTTGGATATTGAGTTGTATTGTTTACATTGTGGCTGCGATTTTGCTTTTTCAGGAGTGTAGATCACTGAAAACTGTTGGAATTGTGATATTAAATGTGTCATAATGATGCACAGAAGTCACCCAGACATGTATGACAGTAGTTATCACGCTAAAGCACGTACAGTCATTACATAATTCCTTTGTGCTTTACAACATACCACTGGAACCAGTTTCTGGGTATGGCATATTTACAGTCTATGCTTCAGAACAGGCTTGGGGTAAACTCTTCCTCCTGAGGGCTACATTGGGATATGTCTGTTGTCAGGAGACAGACTCATTTCCAAGGTTTTTCACTTAAAATACTGATAATCGATAATAACATAGGCCTATAACTACATCTATCATTTGTTTTGTGATTGATTGACCTGAAGGCTGCTTGGACCCTGAGCCACAGTTTGAAAATCCATTGAATCCAACATAAAAATCCTGTAGAGTTGTTTTTTCTCTCAAAATGAAATGTTATAATTCTGTCTCAGAGTCAGCTCTCAGAGTCAGCTCTCAGAGTCAGCTCTCATAGTCAGCTCTCAGGAGTCAGCTCTCAGGAGTCAGCTCTCAGAGTCAGCTCTCAGAGTCAGCTCTCAGAGTCAGCTCTCAGAGTCAGCTCTCAGAGTCAGCTCTCAGGAGTCAGCTCTGAGGAGTCAGCTCTGAGGAGTCAGCTCTCAGAGTCAGCTCTGAGGAGTCAGCTCTGAGGAGTCAGTTCTCAGAGTCAGCTCTCAGAGTCAAAATGGTGATGTCACACAGCCGGGTCGGCACGGTGGCTGAGTGGATAGCACTCTCGCCTCTCAGCAAGAAGGTCCTGGGTTCGAATCCCGGTCGGACCAGGGCCTTTCTGAGTGGAATTTGCATGTTCTCCCCGTGTCTGCGTAGGTTCCCTCCGGGTACTCCGGTTTCCCCTACCACTAAAAATATGTCCAATAGTTCTAGCATGCCCCACTGTACTGGCCCCGCTCCCATCTCTGTGAGGAGTGAGAGACAAATGCCCAAAATTAACAATTGTAAACCGCTTTGAGACTCAGGTCTGCAGTGAAAAGGCGGTATATAAATAAAAGATCACTTACTAGATTACTTACTTACACAGATGTGACTGAGGAGTTTGCTTTGACCCTACACCATGAGCACTTCCCTGAGGGCTTTACAGATGTCCATCTAAGTCTAAATTCATGTTTCCTAAATGTGTTTGCAGTGTGTCTCAGTGTGTCTTCTTCCTGGAGACATGTTGACCCGAACAGCCGCACACAGACACAGGTGAGGGTTCTACTCCTGCAGCTTCAAACATCACACTCAGTGACACTAAAGCTGTGTCCTCATATCAGGCAGGTGGGGCGCCCCCCGCTGGACACCAGTGGGACAGCAGCTGCAGGTTTGTACAATATTCAAATGTCCTTATTGTTCTGGTGCCTTAAGATCATTACACAATTATATTTATTATATTATGAAAGAGGAGACCGTGTCCATGTGCTCATGCAAACACCCACAGAAGCCTTGTTTCCACCAGCCTTCCCTACCCTACTCTACTCTACCCTACTCTACCCTTCTCTACTCTAGTAGCATAGAGTAGAGTAGGGCTGGTGGAAACAGGGCATAGAGTGATGCTGATATAGACTATACCTCAGTCAAGCTGTAGCTACAGGGTTTTGAAGAGATATGTAGTTGTGATTCTTTATATTGTGTGTGTGTGTGTCTGTGTGTGTGTGTGTGTGACTCTGTGTGTGTGTGTGTGTGTCTGTGTGTGTGTGTGTGTGTGTGTGTGTCTGTGTGTGTGTGTCTGTGTGTGTGTGTCTCTGTGTGTGTGTGTATCTGTGTGTGTTTCTGTGTGTGTGTGTGTGTCTCTGGGGGTGTGTGTGTGTGTGTGTCTCTGTGTGTGTTTCTGTGTGTGTGTGTTTCTTTGTGTGTGTGTGTGTGTGTCTCTTTGTGTGTCTCTGTGTGTGTGTGTGTGTGTGTGTGTGTGTGTGTGTGTGTGTCTCTTTGTGTGTCTCTGTGTGTGTTTCTGTGTGTGTTCAGACTGGTTGGTCTCCAAACAGAAAGCTGTGTGTTTTGTCATTAAACGTGAACATTCGTATCACAAAGAATGGATCATTTCAAAGACAAGGTTAGCCCTGTTTACATTAGCTCTGCTCTGCTCTACTCTATACTCTACTGTGCTCTACTCTATACTCTACTGTGCTCTACTCCACTCTATACTCTACTCTACTGTGCTCTACTCTACTCTACTGTGCTCTACTCTGCTCTACTGTGCTCCTCTACTCTACACTACTCTACTCTTCTCTACTTTATCCTACTCTACTCTACACTACTCTACTCTACTCTTCTCTACTTTATCCTACTCTACACTACACTACTCTACTCTACTCTACACTACTCTACTCTACTCTACTCTACTCTTCTCTACTTTATCCTACTCTACTCTGCTCTACACTACACTACTCTACTCTTCCCTACTCTACTCTACTCTACTCTTCTCTACTTTATCCTACTCTACACTACACTACTCTACTCTACACTACTCTACTCTACTCTTCTCTACTTTATCCTACTCTACTCTACTCTACTCTACACTACTCTACTCTACCCTACTCTACTCTACTCTACTCTTTTGCAGAAAGAAAGTGTGTAAAAGGACATGTTTGGATCCAGACTCAGGTGAGAGAAAAAAAAGACCAGAGACAGACCAGAGATAGTGTTTCTCAGTGTGCTTCTCTGCAGGGCTGGTGAAGGTGGGGCGTATGTGGGCAGTGCGACACAGGGGGAGGTTTCTCTTTAAACACACTGTGAGGAAGAGAAACCGCTTTGGTGAGAACATGATGCACCAGAGCGTGATACAAGGAGATCTGGACAAGCTCCGTGTGATTCTGCAGCTGAAGACCAACGTTAGACCAGAGAGAGACCAGAGAGAGACCAGAGAGAGACCAGAGAGAGACTAGAGAGAGACCAGAGAGAGACTAGAGAGAGAGGAGGAGAGACCAGAGAGAGGAGGAAAGACCAGAGAGAGAGAGGAGGAGAGACCAGAGAGAGAGAGGAGAGAGAGACCAGAGAGACAGAGGAGGAGAGACCAGAGAGAGAGAGGAGGAGAGACTAGAGAGAGAGAGGAGGAGAGACCAGAGAGAGAGGAGAGAGAGACCAGAGAGAGACCAGAGAGAGACCAGAGAGAGACCAGAGAGAGACCAGAGAGAGACCAGAGAGAGACTAGAGAGAGGAGGTGAGAGACCAGAGAGAGAGAGGAGGAGAGACCAGAGAGAGAGGAGGAAAGACCAGAGAGAGAGAGGAGGATAGACCAGAGAGAGAGAGGAGAGAGAGACCAGAGAGACCAGAGGAGGAGAGACCAGAGAGAGAGAGGAGGAGAGACTAGAGAGAGAGAGGAGGAGAGACCAGAGAGAGAGGAGAGAGAGACCAGAGAGAGAGGAGGAGAGACCAGAGAGAGAGGAGAGAGAGACCAGAGAGACAGAGGAGGAGAGACCAGAGAGAGAGGAGAGAGAGACCAGAGAGAGAGGAGAGAGAGACTAGAGAGACAGAGGAGGAGAGAGCAGAGAGAGAGGAGGAGAGAGCAGAGAGAGAGTAGGAGAGAGTAGAGAGAGAGAGGGAGGAGAGACCAGAGAGAGAGGAGAGACCAGAGAGAAAGAGAGAGGAGAGACCAGAGAGAGGGAGGAGAGAGAAGAGAGAGGAGGAGAGAAAGGAGAGAGCAGAGAGAGAGAGAGGGAGGAGAGACCAGATAGGAGGAGGAGAGACCAGAGAGAGAGGAGGAGAGACCAGAGAGAGAGAGAGGAGAGAGCAGAGAGAGAGAGGAGAGGGAGAGGAGGAGAGACCAGATAGGAGGAGGAGAGACCAGAGAGAGAGGAGGAGAGACCAGAGAGAGAGAGATGAGAGAGCAGAGAGAGAGAGGAGGAGAGAGCAGAGACACAAGATAGAGACCAGAGAGAGAGTAGATAGCAGAGAGAAGGGTGAGACCAGAGAGAGTGGAGAGACCAGAGAGAGGGGGAGACCAGAGAAAGACGTGAGAGAGAGAGAGGAGAGAGAAAAGAGGGACCAGAGAGAGACTAGAGAGAGAGCAAGAGAGCAGAGCACAGGACTGGTGAGGGAGGACTTCTGCCTCAAGTCGATGGGAATAATGGTTTTGCTTGTTCTCTCTTTGTGTTTAGTTAAACCACCCAAGGACAAACAGGAGTCAAAGCACAAAATAAATGTCCTGAGAGAGAGACCAGAGACCAGACCAGTCCTGAGAGAGAGACCAGAGACCAGACCAGTCCTGAGCCAGAGAAGAGAGACTGGATCTGTCCTGGGAGAGAGACCAGAGACACGAGCAGAGACCACAGAAGTCCCAGGACCAGAGATCGCAGAAGTCCCAGGACCAGAGATCGCAGAAATCCCAGGACCAGAGACTGCCGAAGTCCCAGGACCAGAGACCGCCGAAGTCCCAGGACCAGAGACCGTCGAAGTCCCAGGACCAGAGACCACAGAAGTCCCAGGACCAGAGACCGCAGAAGTCCCAGGACCAGAGACCGCAGAAGTCCCAGGACCAGAGACCACAGAAGTCCCAGGACCAGAGACCACAGCAGTCCCAGTCCCAGAGACCACAGCAGTCCCAGTCCCAGAGACCACAGAAGTCCCAGGACCAGAGACCAGACCTCTCCAGGACAATCGTCTCTGTCTTCTGTCTCTGGGATCCTCACACAGCGGCCCCACCACACGTTCCTATACAGTCTATGGTTTGTATATTTTAGAAAAATATTATATCTGCTTAAACTTAACAAACTTAAACTAACTTTAAAACAAGGGAAAACTAGGAAATATGTTTATTTCCAACCCTGGGTTACACAGACACAGTGTTGGTGCTCCCCCTGGTGGACATTACATCTCATTACAGCTCAGGACTGATCCAAAAATATAGACATCAGAATCATTTTTATTGCCACGTAAGTAACAGAAGTCACAGACTTGGAAATTGCTTTGGCTCAGTGCAACAGTCAAAAAGAGATAATAAAAATAAGAATTAAAAACACTTCTAAAGAATAAATTAAAATTTAAAAATGAGTTACAGTTACTATTTACAATATACAAGTGCACATGGTAGGGGGGCGACAGTAGCTCAGTTGGTAGAGCATTGCCCTTCAGGCCTGAAGGTCGTGGGTTCAATTCCCACCTCTGCACCTTCTCCACCGACTCCCACTGATGACTGCTGTCGTTGTGTCCTTGGGCAAGACACTTAACCCCACTTTGCCCAAAGCCCCCACTGAAAGATCAAGGCTATGCTCACACTCAGAGAGCAGCCGTCCTCCTGTGGACTCACCACCTGCAGAGGGTCAGTGAGGGGCTGGTGCTATGAGACTTGGGTGGCATCTCTGACTGCCACCCCCCTGACCCAGAAATGGATTAAAGGGTAGAAAATGGATGGATGGATGGAAGTGCACATGGTGCACACAATGTAAGGTGACAGCAGTACAGTGAAGTAAAGTGACGTATGATGGGCAGTAAAGTGACTTTATAAAGGGCGGGGGGACAGGTTAAGAAGTGTTCAAGAGTCCAACAGCAGAGGGGAAGAAACTGTTCTTGTGGCGGGAGGTTCTAGTCCTGATGGACCGCAGTCTCCTGCCTGAGGGGAGTGGTTGGAATAGTCCATGTGCAGGTGAGGGCAGTGGTTGGAATAGTCCATGTGCAGGCGAGAGGGGAGTGGTTGGAATAGTCCATGTGCAGGGTGAGAGGGGTCGGCTGTGATACGACCAGCCCGGCCTCGAGCTCGGGTGACGTACAGGTCCTGCAGCGATGGAAGGCTGCGGCCGATCACTTCCTCTGCAGAGCGCACAATGCGCTGTAGTCTCTGTTTGTCCCTGACTGTGGCTCCAGCGAACCACACGGTGATGGAGGAGGTGATGGAGGAGGAGATGGAGGAGGTGATGGAGGAGGTGATGGAGGAGGTGAGGATGGACTCGATGATGGCCGTGTAGAACTGCAGCTTGGCTTTCCTGAGCTGCCGCAGGAAGTACATCCTCTGCTGGGCCTTCTTGATGAGGGAGCTGATGGTCGGCTCCCACTTGAGGTCCTGGGTGACGGAGGTGCCCAGGAAACGGAAGGACTCCACAGAGGTGATGGGGGAGTCCATCACGGAGGGTGGGGGCGGGGGGACAGTACTCTTCCTGAAGTCCACAATCATCTCCACTGTCTTCTGGGCGTTCAGCTCCAGGTTGTTACCACTGCACCAGGACACCAGCCGGTCCACCTCCCTCCTGTAGGCGGACTCATCGTTGTTGGAGATGAGTCCAATGAGGGTGGTGTCGTCCGCGAACTTGATCAGCTTCACGGAGTCGTGGCTGGAGGTGCAGTGGTTGGTGTACAGGGAGAAGAGCAGGGGAGAAAGAACACAGCCCTGTGGGGCTCCTGTATTTATAATCCGAGAGTCCGAGACATTCTTCCCCAGACGCACTCGCTGCTTCCTGTCTTGAAGTCAGTGATCCACCTGCAGGTGGAATCGGGCACGTTGAGCTGGGAGAGCTTGTCCTGGAGCAGGGATGGCAGGATTGTGTTGAAGGCAGAGCTGAAGTCCACGAACAGGACCCTGGCGTAGGTCCCCGGGGAGTCCAGGTGCTGTAGGATGTGGTGGAGGGCCAGGTTAATGGCGTCGTCTACAGATCTGTTGGCTCTGTAGGCGAACTGCAGGGGGTCCAGGAGGGGGGAGGTGAAGGACTTGAGATGGGAGAGGACCAGGCGTTCAAATAACTTCATGACGACAGACGTAAGTGCTACAGGTCTGTAGTCGTTGAGTCCTGTGATCCTGGGCTTCTTGGGGGACGGGGACAATGATGGAGGATTTGAAGCAGGCCGGGACATGGCAGGAATGCAGAGAGGTGTTGAAAATGTCAGTGAACACAGGAGTAAGCTCACTGGCGCAGTGTCTCAGAGTGGCCGGAGACACGTGGTCCGGGCCAGGAGCTTTGCGGGGGTGCAGCCTCAAGAAGAGTTGTTTAATCTCTTTAGAGGCTATTGTTAGGCTGGGGGCAGGGCTGATGGGTGGGTCGTTAGAGTAGTGGGGGGTGGGGGAGGGAGAGGTGTCAGGGGCAGCATCAAAGCGACTGAAAAATAAGTTCAGTTCGTCAGCTAGCTTGTGGTCGTCAGCACAGGGGGGGGCTTTGGGCTTGTAGTTGGTGATCTCCCGTAGGCCCCTCCAGACAGAAGCAGTATCGTTGTTACCAAACTGCTCCTGTAGTCGTTCTCTGTGCCGGGACTTGGCTGCTTTCAGTTCTTTCCTGAACTGATATTTAGCTGCTTTGTAGCCGCTGCGGTCCCCCTCCCTGAAAGCAGACTCCTTTGCTTTCCTTCACTGCCGGAGTTTAGCAGTGAACCAGGGTTTGTCGTTGTTATAGATGACCCTGGTCCTTGTTGGAATGATGCTATCCTCACAGAAGTGAATGTATGACGTCACAGTGTCCGTGTATTCATCCAAACAGTCTGTGGCAGCTCTGAAAAGGTCCCAGTCTGTAGATTCCATGCATGCGCGCAGCTCTTCCACAGCTTCATCAGACCACACTTTGGAGCTCCTCACTGCAGGTTTCAGAGCTTTAGTCTCTGTCTGTAAGCAGGAACCAGATGTATCATAGAGTGATCTGAGAAGCCGAGGGCTGGCTTAAGAACAGCGCGAAAAGCTCCGCGCACGGTGGTGTAACAGTGATCCAGAGTGTTCTCCTCTCTGGTCGGGCATTTGATAAACTGTCTGTATTTGGGTAATTCCTGGCTCAAGTTTCCCTTATTAAAATCCCCCAGGATAATAATCAGAGAGTCCGGGTATAAACGTTCCATACACAGTACTTGGTCTGCGAGTGCGCGCTGAGCCTCGCATGGCGGTATGTAAACAGAGGCAAGAATGAATGAAACAATTTCACGAGGGGAGTAAAATGGTTTACAATGAATGAAAAGATATTCCAGAGCAGGAGAACAGTGCTTGGAGATCACTGTCACATCGTTACACCAGTTTGTATTGACGTAGAAACACAGCCCACCGCCTCTGCTCTTCCCTGAGAGCGCACAATGGCGATCCGTGTGGAACAGCCCAAAGCCCTGCAGCTCCAGAGCGCAGTCCGGGATCCGCTCATTTAGCCAGGTCTCAGTGAAGCAGAGGACACCAGGTCTCAGTGAAGCAGAGGACACAGAGGACACCAGGTCTCAGTGAAGCAGAGGACACAGGATGAAGTCCTTGTTTCTTCTCATTCTCACCTTGTGTTAATCTCATTCCTCATATTAAAGCTCGGATGTGTGTTTTTGTAGCTGGGACCAGCGTCCACGTGACTCCTAGAGCTCTCCACAAACGGAACCACGCTGGAGAGACTCTGCTGCACCTGGCCTGTAAACGCCAGGACCAGACCCAGGTCCAGACTCTGATCCGAGCTGGAATCAACGTCAACCTCCGGGACTATGCAGGTCTGACACCAGAAAGAGAGAGACCATAGAGAGACCAGAGAGAGACCATAGAGATACCCGAGATAGACCAGAGAGAGACCAGAGAGACCAGAGTGACCAGAGATACCATAGAGAGACCAGAGAGACCAGAGAGACCAGAGAGACCAGAAAGATCAGAGAGAGATCAGAAAGAGACCAGAGGGACCATGGAGACCATAGAGAGACCATAGAGTTGCCAGACAGAGAAAGACAGAGACCAGAGATTGGCTGGTCTCTCTCTGGCTGCTCTCTGATTGGCTGGTGTCTCTCTGGCTGCTCTCTGATTGGCTGGTCTCTCTCTGGCTGGTCTCTGATTGGCTGTTGTCTCTCTGGCTGCTCTCTGATTGGCTGGTCTCTCTCCCTGGCTGCTCTCTGATTGGCTGGTCTCTCTCAGGTTGGACTGCTCTACACGAGGCTGCAGCCAGAGGAAACCTGGTGGTGGTGGAGGCGCTGCTGGAGGCTGGGGCGCAGGTCAACGCCCGCGGCACCAGCGGGGAAACACCTCTGCACGATGCTGTGAACGCAGACAACTACGAGGTACAGCGCCACCACCTGGAAAAAGGGGAGAGGAGAGGAGAGGACAGGACAGGAGAGGAGAGAGGGGAGGGGAGGAGAGAGGAGAGGAGAGGGGAAGGGAGAGAAAAGAGAGGAGCGGAGAGGACAGAGAGGGGACGGGAGAGTGGAGGGAGAGGAGAGGAAAGAGAAAGGAGAGGAGAGGGGAGGAGAGAATAGAGGAGAGAGAGAGGAGAAGAGGAGAGAGAGAGGAGAGGAGAGGGGAAGGGAGAGTGGAGGGAGAGGAGAGGAAAGAGAAAGGAGAGGAGAGGGGAGGAGAGAGGAGAGGAGAGGAGAAGAGAGAGGAGAGGAGAGAGAGAGAGGAGAGGAGAGGACAGAGAGGGGAGAAGAGAAGAGAGAGAGGGGAGTCAAAAGCAATCAGCCCAAAGAGTCAAAGAGAGACCTTTCTAATGCGATGGTGACAGCAGGTTGTGTCTGATTTGTACACATTATACTTAAAGACTCTTTCTGTTCAAAACACATGTTATTTATGAGACTAAAGTTACGGACCTCAGCTTTAACTGATCATTGGTGGTGAATGTCTCTGCTCTGGCCTCAGGTGGTGAAGCTGCTGCTGGAGCACGGGTCTCACCCTCACGACCAGACCATGGCAGGTCTGAGTGCTCTGGATACAGCGAGGAGCAGGAGAGTGAGAGAGCTGCTGCTGGAGTACGCAGGACCCACAGGTAATCTGGGTCTACAGCCTCAGTCCTGGGTCTACAGCCTCAGACCTGGGTCTACAGCCTCAGTCCCCTGGGTCTACAGCCTCAGTCCTGGGTCTACAGCCTTAGTCCTGGGTCTACAGCCTCAGTCCTGGGTCTACAGCCTCAGTCCCCTGGGTCTACAGCCTCAGTCCTCGGGCTACAGCCTCAGTCCCCTGGGTCTACAGCCTCAGTCCCCTGGGTCTACAGCCTCAGTCCTGGGTCTACAGCATCAGTCCCCTGGGTCTACAGCCTCAGTCCTGGGTCCACAGCCTCAGTTCTGGGTCTTCAGCCCCAGTCCTGGGTCTACAGCCTCAGTCCTGCTGCCTCAGTCCTCCTATGGCTCCTATGACTAGACTAAAGTAGAGTAGAGTAGGGTAAATTTAGAGTAGAGTAGATTTAGATTATAGTAGAGTAGAGTAGAGTAGATTTAGAGTAGAGTAGATTTAGATTATAGTAGAGTAGAGTAGAGTAGATTTAGAGTAGAGTAGAGTAGATTTAGAGTAGAGTAGAGTAGAGTAGATTTAGAGTAGAGTAGAGTAGATTTAGAGTAGAGTAGAGTAGAGTAGATTTAGAGTAGAGTAGAGTAGATTTAGAGTAGAGTAGATTTAGAGGAGAGTAGAGTAGATTTAGAGTAGAGTAGAGTAGAGTAGATTTAGAGTAGAGTAGATTTGGAGTAGAGTAGATTTAGAGTAGAGTAGAGTAGAGTAGAGTAGATTTAGAGTAGAGTAGATTTAGGTAGAGTAGATTTAGAGTAGAGTAGAGTAGAGTAGAGTAGATTTAGAGTAGAGTAGATTTAGAGTAGAGTAGTAGATTTAGAGTAGAGTAGAGTAGATTTAGAGTAGAGTAGAGTAGATTTAGAGTAGAGTAGGGTAGATTTAGAGTAGAGTAGATTTAGATTATAGTAGAGTAGAGAGTAGAGTAGATTTAGAGTAGAGTAGAGTAGATTTAGAGAGAGTAGAGTAGATTTAGAGTAGAGTAGATTTAGAGTAGAGTAGATTTGAGTAGAGTAGATTTAGAGTAGAGTAGAGTAGAGTAGAGTAGAGTAGAGTAGAGTAGAGTAGAGTAGATTTAGAGTAGAGTAGATTTAGAGTAGAGTAGAGTAGATTTAGAGTAGATTTAGAGTAGAGTAGAGTAGATTTAGAGGAGAGTAGAATAGATTTAGAGTAGAATAGATTTAGAGTAGAGTAGATTTAGAGTAGAGTAGAGTAGATTTAGAGTAGAGTAGAGTAGATTTAGAGTAGAGTAGATTTAGAGTAGAGAAGATTTAGAGTAGAGTAGAGTAGAATAGATTTAGAGTAGAGTAGATTTAGAGTAGAGTAGAGTAGAGTAGATTTAGAGTAGAGTAGATTTAGAGTAGAGTAGATTTGGAGTAGAGTAGAGTAGAGTAGATTTAGAGTAGAGTAGAGTAGAGTAGGGTAAAGTAGAGTAGAGTAGATTTAGAGTAGAGTAGAGTAGATTTAGAGTAGAGTAGATTTAGAGTAGAGTAGAGTAGAGTAGATTTAGAGTAGAGTAGAGTAGAGTAGATTTAGAGTAGAGTAGATTTAGAGTAGAGTAGAGTAGGGTAGAGTAGAGTAGAGTAGATTTAGAGTAGAGTAGAGTAGAGTAGATTTAGAGTAGAGTAGATTTAGAGTAGAGTAGGGTAGAGTAGAGTAGAGTAGAGTAGAGTAGATTTAGAGTAGAGTAGAGTAGAGTAGATTTAGAGTAGAGTAGAGTAGAGTAGATTTAGAGTAGAGTAGAGTAGAGTAGATTTAGAGCTGAGTAGAGTTTCCATCTTTAAAGCCTTGTCCTCCGCCTGCAGCCTCAGCGGTGGAGCAGCACAGCCCCACACAGGCCTCTGTCTCTGGGGAACACACACAGACCTCAGACCCCTCTGTCCTGGAGCCTCCTGGGTCTAAAGCTCCAGGTCCACTGCTGAACCGAGTCTGGGACAAACTGAAGCAGCTGGAGGAGTCCCCTGAGGGTCCTCAAACAGGTCTGACACCAGCACCATCAAGGACACATGACAGAGACCAGAGAGACCAGAGAGACGAGGGACCAGAGACCAAGACCAGAGAGATGAGGGACCAGAGAGACCAGAGAGATGAGGGACCAGAGAGACCAGAGACCAGAGAGATGAGGGACCAGAGAGACCAGAGATGAGGGACCAGAGAGACCAGAGAGACCAGAGACCAGAGAGATGAGGGACCAGAGAGACCAGAGACCAGAGAGATGAGGGACCAGAGAGACCAGAGATGAGGGACCAGAGAGACCAGAGAGACCAGAGACCAGAGAGATGAGGGACCAGAGAGACCAGAGAGATGAGGGACCAGAGAGATGAGGGACCAGAGAGACCAAAGACCAGAGAGACCAGAGAGACCAAAGACCAGAGAGACCAGAGCCCAGAGAGACCAGAGCCCAGAGAGACCAAAGACCAGAGAGACCAGAGCCCAGAGAGACCAGAGAGATGAGGGACCAGAGAGACCAAGACCAGAGAAACCAGAGAGACCAAAGACCAGAGAGACCAGAGCCCAGAGAGACCAAAGACCAGAGAGACCAGAGCCCAGAGAGACCAGAGCCCAGAGAGACCAGAGCCCAGAGAGACCAGAGCCCAGAGAGACCAGAGACCAAAGACCAGAGAGACCAGACAGGGACCAGAGAGAGAGAGAGAGAGACCAGAGAGGCTCCAAGAACAGAGAGACATAGCTGTCCAAAGACCGGATAGACCAGGGAAAGCCAGACTCTAGGCCTGAATGTGTGTGTGTGTGTGTGCGTGTCTCTGTGTGTGTGTGTGTGTGTGTGTGTGTGTGTGTGTGTGTGTCTCTGTGTGTGTGTGCGTGTGTGTGTGTCTCTGTGTGTGTGTGCGTGTGTGTGTGTCTCTGTGTGTGTGTGTGCGTGTGTGTGCACTTGTTTTCAACTCCTGGTGGGTTCCATAACCTGAGATTCCATTCACGTCATGGGGACTGGTTTTACGTGGTGGGGCCCGAACACCGGACCCCACTGGTCCAAGCTTAATAATCAATGGGTAATGCTTTTCTAACGGTCCTTATGCAGTCTCTGTAAAAATATGGAAAGGACCCCTGGAGGTTTACTTTCCTGAAAAAAGTGTGTTATGTGTCGGAACCCTGGTGGTGGGTTGTGGGATATCAAGGAGGGGCACACTGGGGCAATTTCAGTCCAGCAGGCTGGAGCCAATCATGGAGCAGCACAACAGAGGAAATCAGGTGTCAAGGCAAGGCAAGGCAAGGCAAGGCAAGGCATGTTTATTTGTATAGCACAATTCATACACAAGGCAACTCAAAGTGCTGAACAAGATAGCATTAAAATCATAAATAATCACAGAACATTAAAAAGAAGGCTTGAAAAAGGTGCAAGTGTGTGGTTCATTAGGCTGCAAGAAATCATGGAGGAGCACACTGAAGCGCACGCTTACAAACCACTGGTAAGTGCTGACTACAAGTCATGACTTCAAATTGTTATATAGAATGATTACACATTATTTGTTGTTTGTGCAGCTTAGTCAAGAGTCCCTAATTGATGAAGTCGACTCAGATTCTGACGATTTAACTGTCAAGAAGAAACCTGTAAAAAAGTATGGAAAAAGAAAAATCAAAAACACTTTTCTTCAAGACTCGGAAAGTGACGAACCAAAGGCAAATAATATCAATAAGATTGTTATCATGCAGCTGCAAAAGAAGAAAAATGGGGGGCGAGTTTATAGCAAGAGACACTTCTGCCTCTACTGTTCAATGTCCTGCCACAAAATGTCCCGTCATTTGACTAGAAAACATGGAAATGAAAGTGACGTAGCCAGAGCATTGGCTCTACCTGTGAAATCTAAAGCACGTAAACTTCAGTTTGATTTGATCAGGAATAGTGGAAACCGTGAGCACAATTTTGAGGTTTTAAAGGCCGGCATTGGAACTTTAGTCCCAGCTAAACAGCCAAATTCCCCAGTTAAATCCAGTGAGTTTTTGCACTGTATAGACTGTGGGGCATTGCTTAAGCGAAAGTCGCTGTGGAGGCATGTGGCCAGGTGCCGGCTTTCACAGAAAGATGCCCAGGCTAAACCAGGTAGAAGTAGGGTCCAGTCCCTCTGCTCCCTAGCCCAGCCTGTACCGGAGGGCATCAGCAAAAAGCTGTGGTCTTTAATTTCGGCAATGCATCAGGATGAGGTCACGGGTGTTGTCAAAGCAGAAAAGGGGATTCTGAGACTCGGAGAGCACCTGTACTTAAAACACGGGCATGATAAGACTAAGCATGATTAAATTAAATTAGGCAGAAAATGAGAGAAGTCGGTAGGTTAATTAACGAAGCAAAAACTGCAGGGAAACTGAAAACAATTAAGAATTTCTTTATTCCTTCCAACTTTAACCATGTGATTGATGCAGTCAGGTCTGTGGCTGGATATGATGAGGAAACAAATCAATACAAGACTCCATCCTTGGCCCTCAAACTCGGCCATAGCCTCAGAAAGCTAGCAGATATTCTTGAATGTGACTCAAAAATGGAGCATTGTGTTGATGAACTATTTATTAAAAACCTCCAACGAAGCCGGCTGCTTTTTGAGAAGAGGTGGGACGTCTGTGTTTCTTCTGCTGCCCTACAGACCCTCCGGCAAGCCAAGTGGAACACTCCGGACCTGCTCCCTCTGACTGAGGACGTTAGAGCCATGCATGCACATATTGAGGTATGTCAACCTGAATATGTGCAAACCCTAATAAGTGAGCCAACGTCTAAGCATTGGTCTAAACTGGCAGTTTTGACTCTTTGTGAGGTCATTATTTTCAATCGAAGAAGGGAAGGTGAGGTTTCAAAGATGCCACTGACAGCCTTTACCTTAAGAAGTAAGACTGGGATCCATTCTGACATTGCTCTGGGACTGTCCCAACTTGAGAAAAAGCTGTGTCAGCATTTTCAACGCATTGAAATTAAAGGGAAAAGAAGTCGGAAAGTGCCGGTTCTTTTGACTCCTGAAATGATTGCTTCGATGGAGGTGCTGGTGGAGAACAGAAGGGCCTGTTCCATCTCTGACCATAACCCATACTTCTTTTCCCGCCCGGGCGCAGACACCCACATCAGGGGATCAGACTCCCTACGCCAGGTAGCCAAAGAATGTGGTGCGGTGCATCCAGAGATGCTATCCTCAACCAAACTTAGAAAGCACATAGCTACTATGTCTACAGTTCTCAATATGAAAGAGAATGAGATGGACATACTTGCCAACTTCCTCGGCCATGACATTCGCATCCACAGGCAATATTACAGACTACCAGAGGGGACACTGGAGCTGGCCAAAATCAGCAAAGTGTTGATGGCCATGGAGCAGGGAAGAGTGACGGAATTCGAAGGAAAGAGCCTCGACCAGATACAAATTGAGCCTGAAGGTAATTCTTGATATTATTAAAATATGTATGATTTTTTTCCCCTAAAGGCCACTTGTATTTTTATTTTCTGTGCGACAGGGAGAGCAGTAGAGATCCTCTCACAAACGGACGGGCTAAAAGAAACTTCAAGCGGAGAACCTTCAACCATTCATCCAGATGCACCCCATGATAGTGGCAGTGCCCCTTCTGGTAAGTGTACCAGGTGGGGGATTACAGCCAGGCTGCTTGGTCCTAACCCTGGGAGTGTATATTGCTAATATATTTTTATTTCTCTCCCTAGAACGTGTAAGAAAGCCATGGTCTGCATCTGAGGTGAAGGCTGTGGAGAAGACCATGACACCTTTCATACAGACTGGAAAGGTCCCTGGGAAGTCTCACTGCCTGGCCTGCATTAATGCCTCACCAGATGACCTTAGACATCGGACATGGAGTGGCATTAAATTCTATGTCAAAAATAGAATCACTGCAATTCGAAAAAAAAATCTAAAATAAAATTCCTTTAAAATAGTTGTTTGGTTTCTATTGACTGTTTTGTATTACTTAAACTAGTCCCAGTAAAAAAAGATTATGTCTATGGGTCCCATTCTGAACGGCCCTGTCAAAGGGACCCACCAGGTAACAAAAACGTGTATGTGTGTGTGTGCGTGTGTGTGTGTGTCTCTGTGTGTGTGTGTGTTCAGCAGACCTGTCCACTCTCTGGGACGTCCACACTGTCCTCACACAGGTGTTAGCCAAGCAGCACGTGGCCAAAGACAACCTCACACATCTGTACTGGTCAGTCTGCTGTCCTCTGTATGAAAACACTACTGCTACTGCTACTGCTACTACTACTACTGCTACTACTACTGCTGCTGCTACTGCTGCTGCTACTGCTACTGCTGCTGCTACTACTACTACTGCTGCTGCTACTGCTGCTGCTACTGCTACTGCTGCTGCTACTACTACTACTACTGCTGCTGCTACTGCTGCTAGTACTACTACTTCTTAGAGCCCTGCACGGGCCTATTATCTGGGCCCGAGCCCGGCCCTGGCCCGAGGGGGTGGCGCCCCAGCCCGGCCCGGCCCGATATGGTTTTTCAATTTTCAGGCCCGAAACCCGCATCAAGCCCGTCTTTTTTTTTTTTTTGTAACCTCCCATAACAATGTTTTAGCGTATAGTATATAGTGCCGCGCACTGATATGAACGCAGACTTAGCTAGAGGGCGGAGTTATACATGGTAGTGATGTGTTGCAATGAGTTCTGTGTGTGCGGAGTGGTGCAGAGTGAACATCTGTATGATACACAGCTGTATGATGCCCAGATGCTGCAACACACCTGTAAGTAACGCTATGTGCCGTCAATGACAACACTACACAGAACAACAAACACTACAGCGTGATAGAACGCTATATTCAGTGGGTGCGTTCGTAAATGTATTCTGCCGCTCTGAAAATGAAGAGCCCGAGCCCGGCCCGTGTCCGAGGTCATTATGCGGTCATCGGCCCGAAGCCCGGCCCTCGGGGCCCTCGGGCCAAGGGCTCAAGTGCAGGGCATTACTACTTCTTATCACTGCTGTTACTACTGGTCCAACTCCTCCTCCTCCTCTCTCTAAGCTCCTCCCTCTCTCTCTAAACTCCTCCCTCTCTCTCTCAGCTCCTCCCTCTCTCTAAACTCCTCCCTCTCTCTCTAAGCTCCTCCCTCTCTCTAAACTCCTCCCTCTCTCTCTAAGCTCCTCCCTCTCTCTCTCAGCTCCTCCCTCTCTCTCTAAACTCCTCCCTCTCTCTCTAAACTCCTCCCTCTCTCTAAACTCCTCCCTCTCTCTAAGCTCCTCCCTCTCTCTCTCAGCTCCTCCCTCTCTCTCTAAACTCCTCCCTCTCTCTCAGCTCCTCCCTCTCTCTTTAAAATCCTCCCTCTCTCTCAGCTCCTCCCTCTCTCTAAACTCCTCCCTCTCTCTCTAAACTCCCCCCTCTCTCTAAACTCCTCCCTCTCTCTCTAAACTCCCCCCTCTCTCTCTAAGCTCCTCCCTCTCTCTCTCAGCTCCTCCCTCTCTCTCTAAACTCCTTCCTCTCTCTCTAAGCTCCTCCCTCTCTCTCTCAGCTCCTCCCTCTCTCTCTAAACTCCTTCCTCTCTAAAACTCCTCCCTCTCTCTCTAAACTCCTTCCTCTCTCTCAGCTCCTCCCTCTCTCTCTAAACTCCTTCCTCTCTCTCAGCTCCTCCCTCTCTCTCTAAACTCCTCCCTCTCTCTAAGCTCCTCCCACTTCCACAGTTGTTCTCTCTCCTGTGTCTGTCTCCTCTAATGCCACATGTATCAGTGTTACAGGACTTAGTGCCAGATAAACACTATCAGCAGTTTCTGTGACGTTCACCTGAAGTTCACTCAGACACAAACTAAACCTCGAGGCCAACGAGAAACTCTGAAACACGGTGGATTTGAGATCAGGACAGGTTCATTTGCGTATTTGTCAGTGGTCCCCAACCCTGTATCGTGGGTCATTCGAACAGGAAAAAAACAGGCCGCCATTTTTATTATTCGTCTAAACAATATTTTATTTTGATAAATGACCGGCTCCTTTCCTTCCATCTTGGCACAGAGGCTCACAATGAAGTTTTACAAATGCGAGGAAAGTATGAGTCGTCTGTGGGAGTTTAGATAAGAGTAAATGTAACCGTGACAACCAGAGGACCATGGGACCAGGACCAGGAGCATACTCAGCCGGGGCAGAGGTGAGGCCAAAAGCAGAAGGGAACAACAGTTAATCACCAACCAAACCTGAGAGACTACAGGCGGCTAGGCAACATGAAGACAAAACCTGCCTCCCCACGTCCAGAAAACAACATTAAAACTCACGCTGTTGATAAATAGTACTTTGGCGATTGTTTTGTGGGGATCCAGTGTGTTTTGCAGACTTTATGCCTGCTGCTTGGATTTTTTTCCCCACAATAAACAGAACCAGGTCAGAAAATCACACGTTGTATCACGTTATCAAAGAAGGTTTTCACATGTGCGTCATGTTAGGGGGGACGTTGGGGTTGTCGGTCCGTGCTTGTACTATTGTCGTTACACCGATCCGTGGCACTATGAAGGTCCTGGAATACGTCACTGTTTGTCCCTTGTTTGCAGGACGGTCCCTTGCTGGCTTCGTAAGCTTGTGTTGAAACATCAGCTGGTCTCGCTGGCCTCAGAGCAGACTCAGCTGGTGGACGTCATCCAGAAGCAGATGAGAGTGGTCGATCAGTACATTCAGAGACACGACAGCAGCCGTCCAGTACCAGGCTCTGCTCCGAGGAACCAGGACCTCAAGGCAACTCTGTCAACAAGACAACACAGCCAGGCTAACATCCCAACTCTCCACACAACCCACGCATCAGCACAAGAAGAAGAATCCCTCCGCTGTTTGGATCCAAAGCCAAACAGCCAGTCTTTCCGATCAACTGTCCTACCATCTCAAAAGAGCCAAGCCCAGAATTCAACTCTTGTACAAGCAGGAAGATACCAAGACCTCAAGAGAAGCCAACAAACAGCTGCGGTTGAAACAGCCAGAGACAAACCTATGAACCCAACTCAGGGGCTGTCACAGGTAGATCAAGACATGAACTCAAATCTGGTACAAGAGGAAAGAAACCAAGACCTCAAGACAAGTGTAGAAGACAGCCAGTCCCTCATATCGACTGGAAACTCAGCTCAAAGAAGCCATGGGGAAAGCAAGAAGACAGTGGCAGTGGATGTAACAGGGAGATCCCAAGACCCTGAGTCAAGTCAAGAAACAGCACAAAACGAGGAAAACAGCCCGTCCCTCATACCAACTACTGCTCCACCTCACAGAATTCAGTCCCACCCAAGCAACAAGGTTCTACAATCAACTTTAGACCCGTCTTTCAACTCTGCTGTGGTTGTAACAGCGAGAGACCGACCAAGGATATCAGTTCAAGGACTAGAACAGAGAAATCAAGGCTTGACCTCAACTCTAGTACAAGCAGAAAGATGCCAAGGTTTGAAACCAGTGCTGCTTACAGAACAAAACAACATGATGGAAGTGTTGGCACCAGAGAGAAACCAGGACGCCAACCAGATACTGGAGGAAGAAAACAGCCCATCTCTCATACCGACTCCAGCTCCACCTCTAAGAAGCCAAGAGCAAAGCAACAAGATCCTCCAACCAACCCTAGACCCTCCGCAGAGAGACCTGTCCGCCAACTCTGCTGTGGGTATAACAGCAAGAGACCGACCTATGAACCCAATTCAAGGACTGGCACAGGTAGATCAAAGCTTGAACTCAAATCTGGTACATGCAGAAAGAAACCAAGACCTCAAGACAAGTCTGAGAACAGCAGAAAATAGCAATGATCTGGGAAATGTTGGGCCGAGAAGGGAGGCGAGAGTTCCAAAACAGAGCTGCCAGACCCTCGTGTCAACTGTGATTCTCCCTCAAAGAAGCCAAGAGCAAAGCACCAAGATCCTCCAACCGACTTCATACTCTTTGCAGAAAAACCAGTCCTCCAACTCGTCTGTGGTTGTAATAGGACAATACCCAGGCTTGACCCCACTGTTAGTGTCCTCTCAAAAGTCTTCCACATTCACCGCTGCATCTGCACTTCCGAGTGTCCGAACGCAAACTGGGGAACAGACTGTGGAAGCTGGAGTCTTCTCTGGTCCCACTGGTCCGGGACCGAAGCCCAGACCGCGCCCAGAGAGGACCGGCCGAGGCCGGCCCCTGAAGGGAGCAGCGAGACGTACTACAACTGGAAGGACAGCGGGTTCTAAGGTCAGTCTGGGGATCGATCGTAGAGAAAGAAGAGGAGGTTTGTGGTAAAGACTCAGAGCTCGGAACATTTTAGTTTGAGTTTAGTCTCCTTTGAGTTTTTTACATTATTACAAGGTTTTAAGGTTATTGTAGAAGAAATGTAGATTAGAGAGAATAATGCGATAATGAGGCTATTTGCTGATCTACTCGATACTATCTTATAACAATGGATCAGTTTTATAAAGCGCTTTTCTGGATTCTCAAAGTCTCTTCACATCATTATCCTCTCACTCCAAACACGGTGGTGACAAACTACTGTAGCCACAGCTGCCCTGGGGCACACTGACAGAAGCGAGGCAACCAGTCTGTGCCATCGGCCCCTCCCACCTCCACCAACCACTCACACACACACCAGACTCATTCTAATGTGGGGGAAGTGTCACAACAGCAGTTTGACACAGTAGCTCAGTGTGTAGAGCATTGGCCTGAAGATCGTGGGTTCGAGCCCACCACATGACTTTCTCCACTGACTCCCACTGCCTACTGTCGTTGTGTCCTTGGGCAAGACACTTAACCTCTGGGAACAGCAGCTGCCACAGTGTCCTCAGGCAAGACACTCGGGTGGCTGAGTGGATAGCACTGTTGCTTCTCAGCAAGAACGTTAGGGTTAGTAAGTAAGTAAGTAATCTTTTATTTATATACCGCCTTTTCACTGCAGATCTGAGTCTCAAGGTTTACAATTGTTAATTTTGGGCATTTGTCTCTCACTCCACACAGATGGGAGCGGGGTCAGTACAGGAGGCGCATGCCAGAACTATTGGACATATTTTTAGTGGTAGGGGAAACCGGAGTACCCGGAGGAAACCTACGCAGACACGGGGAGAACATGCAAACTCCACTCAGAAAGGCCCTGGTCCGACCGGGATTCGAACCCAGGACCTTCTTGCTGAGAGGCAAGAGTGCTATCCACTCAGCCACCGTGCCGCTTAGGGTTCGAATCCCGGTCGGAACAGGGCCTTTCTGAGTGGAGTTTGCATGTTCTCCCCATTTCTGCGTAGGTTTCCTCTGGGTGCTCCGGTTTCCCCTACCACTATAAACATGCACAATATCTGAATATCTGAATGTAAATGAGAGAGTGAATGGATGGTGTTGATTGGGGCTTTGATTGTGGTGGTGGGAGGGGCTGATGGCACAGACTGGTTGCCTCGCTTCTGTCAGTGTGCCCCAGGGCAGCTGTGGCTACAGTAGTTTATCACCGTGTCTGGAGTATAATAATGATGTGAAGTAGGGGTGGCGATACTTTCTCCCGCGATTCGATTATTGATATGCATTTCCCAAGTATCAATATCGATTTTGGAAAAGAAAAAAAATTGGTATCAATACTTAATATATGGCTACAAGTCATGAAATAACAATCTTTTATTTATGCCATAAATTGGCATATTGTATATTTCTGACCAATATATCGATAAACGTCATATCGTGATAAAATTGTTATTGTGATATCGTTATCGTGATATCGTTATCGTGATATCGTTATCGTGAGCTTTGTATCGTGTATCGTATCGTATCGTGAGGTACCCTTAGGTTCCCGCCCCTAATGTGAAGTGTCTTTGACTGTATAACACCGATACTTTATTATTATATTCAGTGTCAGATTGTATGCCCTCAGAGACCGTTTGGACCCAGTTCAGGAGCAGGTCTTGGGTCTGGTCTTGGGTCTGGTCTTGGGATTGGTCTTGGGACTGGTCTTGGGTCTGGTCTTGGGACTGGTCTTGGGACTGGCCTTGGGGCCGGTCTCTCTGAGGATCCGTCTCAGATGTCCATAGTGGAGGATGATCTCTGCAGACCGGTCCAGGCCTCGGCTTCAGCAGGTTGGTTCTACTCTCTGTCCCTGCAGCTCAACAGCGCCCCCTGTGGATCGACATCAAACATTCACAAAACTGTCACTCTCATAGAGACCTCTCTCTGGTCTCTCTCTGGTCCCTCTCTGGTCTCTCTCTGGTCCCTCTCTGGTCTCTCTCTGGTCTCTCTCTGGTCTCTCTCTGGTCCCTCTCTGGTCTCTCTCTGGTCTCTCCCTGGTCTCTCTGGTCTCTCTCTGGTCTCTCTTTGGTCTCTCTGGTCCCTCTCTGGTCTCTCTCTGGTCTCTCCCTGGTCTCTCTGGTCTCTCTCTGGTCTCTCTTTGGTCTCTCTGGTCTCTCTCTGGTCTCTCTCTGGTCTCTCTCTGGTCTCTCTCTGGTCTCTCTCTGGTCTCTCTGGTCTCTCTCTGGTCTCTCTCTGGTCTCTCTCTGGTCTCTCTGGTCTCTCTCTGGTCTCTCTCTGGTCTCTCTCTGGTCTCGCTCTGGTCTCTCTCTGGTCTCTCTCTCTGGTCTCTCTCTCTGGTCTCTCTCTCTGGTCTCTCTCTCTGGTCTCTCTCTGGTCTCTCTCTGGTCTCTCTCTGGTCTCTCTGGTCTCTCTCTGGTCTCTCTCTGGTCTCTCTCTGGTCTCTCTCTCTGGTCTCTCTCTCTGGTCTCTCTCTGGTCTCTCTCTGGTCTCTCTCTGGTCTCTCTGGTCCCTCTCTGGTCTTTCTTATCTGTGTGTTTTACTACTGTCTGTTAGTGCGCTGCAACACAGACATTTCCCCTGAAGCTTCTGTAAATATTGATGGAACATTTATAAAGTTTACTCTCTCGTCTCCTGTTCATTTCTGCAAACGTCTTGAAGCCGTGACTTTGCCGCGGGTCACTACCACAGTTCAGTGTTTGGTAAATAAATATAAAACCTGAAACTCTGGAAACTGCCGATGTTGATGTTTGACACAAGTTCAGTTAAAGCTGAGGTCTGTAACTTTAGTCTGATAATACATGTAATGAGAGAGAGACCAGAGAGAGACCAGAGAGAGTCATGAGAGAGAAACCAGAGAGAGACCAGGGAGAGAGACCAGAGAGAGACCAGTGAGAGTCTTGAGAGAGAAACCAGAGAGAGACCAGGCAGAGAGACCAGAGAGACCCCAGGGAGAGAAACCAGAGAGAGAGACCAGGGAGAGAGACCAGAGAGATAGAGACCAGGGAGAGTCATGAGAGAGACCAGAGAGATAGAGACCAGAGAGAGTCATGAGAGATAAACCACAGAGAGACCAAGGAGAGAGGCCAGAGAGAGAGTCATGAGAGAGTCCAGGGAGAAACCAGAGAGAGTCATGAGAGAGAGACCAGAGAAAGACCAGAGAGAGAGACCAGAGAGAGACCAAAAAGAGACCAAAGAGAGACCAGAGAGAGACTTTAGAACTTGGACAATCGTGTTATAAATGAGACTAAAGTTACGTCCCCCAGCTTTCTTCTTCCCTGTTTCAGATGTTGATGGTTTGTCGCTGGTGATGAAGATCCGAATGGTTCATATTGTTGAGGATGAGGAGCTGGTTCCAAACGCTCTCATGGACCAGTACTGGGACCAGCTGCTGAAGCAGGACACTTGGTCCTTCTGAAGCCTGTTAATCATCTGAACACATGGTCTTTCTCTCTCTCTCTGGTGTCTCTCTCTGGTCTCTCTGGTCCCTCACTGGTCTCTCTCTGGTCCCTCTCTGGTCTCTCTCTGGTCCCTCACTGGTCCCTCTCTAGTCTCTCTCTGGTCCCTCACTGGTCTCTCTCTGGTCTCTCTCTTGTCCCTCTCTGGTCTCTCTCTTGTCCCTCTCTGGTCTCTCTCTGGTCCCTCTCTGGTCTCTCTCTGGTCTCTCTCTGGTCCCTCACTGGTCCCTCTCTGGTCTCTCTCTGGTCTCTCTCTGGTCTCTCTCTGGTCTAGCTCTCCGGTCTCTCTCTCTGGTCTCTCTCTGGTCCCTCTCTGGTCCCTCTCTAGTCCCTCTCTGGTCTCTCTCTGGTCCCTCACTGGTCTCTCTCTGGTCTCTCTCTGGTCCCTCACTGGTCCCTCTCTAGTCTCTCTCTGGTCTCTCTCTTGTCCCTCTCTGGTCTCTCTCTGGTCCCTCACTGGTCCCTCTCTGGTCTCTCGCTGGTCCATCACTGGTCTGTCTCTGGTCTCTCTCTGGTCCCTCACTGGTCTCTCTCTGGTCCCTCACTGGTCTCTCTCTGGTCTCTCTCTGGTCTCTCTCTTGTCCCTCTCTGGTCTCTCTCTGGTCTCTCTCTGGTCTCTCTCTGGTCCCTCTCTGGTCTCTCTCTGGTCCCTCACTGGTCCCTCTCTGGTCTCTCTCTGGTCTCTCTCTTGTCCCTCTCTGGTCTCTCTCTGGTCCCTCTCTGGTCTCTCTCTGGTCTCTCTC